GTCCGGTCCTGGATCCGTCCCTGGATATAATATAGTATTAGAAATTAGATTAAGGTGGATTTGGTCGGATTTTTCAAAGTTTGGTGGTACACCGTATTAAAAAATGTACTAGTATTAAAAAATAAAAAAAATTATTACAATATGTTTTTATTTATAAATAATTTTTCTCACTTAAACGCACGTTTAATCATTAGAGATTTTATTACTTATTATAAGTGAATTTTTTAGTTGTAAAGTAACTTTTATACTTATAAGTAATTTTTTCACTTATTAATGTATTTTCCTTATAAGTGATGATTTTTGTTATAAGTTCCTTTCTTTACATATAAATTACTGCATTTATCCCATAAAGATACACTCATTTTTATTTTCATTGTGTTTGACACCCATTTTGGTGAAGAATAAATTTTGGAATAGTGATTGATGGGAAGAATGTGTGGTTGAAAAATAAGAAAAATTTTTAGGTTTATGTGTAATATTATTTTATTGATAGAATGTGTGGTTGAAATGAAGAAAGAGAATGAGAAAAGAATTGGTGTCAAACGGGGGCATATTAATGGAGTCTACCTTTATGGGATTAATGGAGTAATTTATATCCCATAAAGATAAATGGAGTAATTTATATCAAATCTTTATGGGACGAGGAAAGTACATTTTTACTTATAAATGATTTTTACATAAAGATAATTTTAACTTAATAAGTAACTTTTAAGTGATTTTTCAAGTATTAATAACTATTTTGTTACCGATAAGTAATTACTCCAACTACCCCATTTATATATGCTGACTTTTTTTATTTTCTTGTCACATTTATATAGTCTTATTTCTTTATTGGGAAATTATTTATTTTGTTCTCTTACTAATACCCTTATTTAATTTGTCTAATTATAAGAATTTTTTTCACTTAATCTTGAAATTGTATAAATTTTAATTTACGTACTTGATGGAATCATCCGAATACATACACACAGTTCTTGAAGGGAGTAAAGTTGAAGTGTTTCATAGTAATTTGCCCAATCGTCACCATTTTTTAAAATACGACTTCTAGTTGTTGATAATTAGATAATGATAAACTAGGATAATTCTTTGTAAAAATTACTTTTTGAATAACATTAAATGAAATTTCTTATAAATGGACCATTGGACCTATATAAATGGGATGGAGAGAGTATTTTAGTTGTATACAAACTTTTTAATTATAAATGAGTTTTTACTTATATATAATTATTTTACTGATAATTAATTTTATACATGATTTTTTACTTATAATGATACGTATTTTGTTTACTTACATGTTTGAATAACTTATTTATATTCTTTTTTTTTTTTTTTTGACAAATAGACCTTTTATCGATAATCAAACTTTTAAAATTTAATAAAATATGTCTCGATCACTTGAATCGTCATTCTTTTAATTTATTTTAAATTGTATTCTTATTTCTTATATTATACATCAATATATTTAAAAAAATATATATCCTTTAGAATTAGGCCGCGTAGCTTTTGTGTTTTTAATATGTACAAGTTGCACTTTCCATATGCTAACGTATGAACACTATGTTTTGTCAAAGAATGTTAAATGATTTAAGTATAAATTTTATCGTCACTTATTTATAAAAAAAATTATTCCATTATTTCGATTTAATCATTTTAATCAATTATTTTGAGAATTGGCTTTTCCAAATGTTCATCGATCTATTCTATACTCTTTTCAAGTCGAAATGCTATGCAATGGTGTCACAAAGACAAAATAAAATATTATTTAATCATTTATGCAATTGAGAAGGTGAATCTCTCTCTGCGAGATATGACCTTCAAGTTGAAATAAATCATATTTGGCAAAGCTTAAAATATAACTTTTAAGTGCACATACTTATAAGAAAAGGAAATATTTTTTTATTAGTAAAAGTTATAAATTAATTTAACTTTTAGTTTGGCCAATTTCTAATTCAAATTGGGCAATACAGACTTGTTATGCACAAGTTTGAAACTAGAAAACCATTTTTAATATTTGATTTCAAATTAAGGAATAAAAATAGTTAATTCGTTATTAGTACATTAAAAAAAAA